TCACACACATTGGGAACTGCGCCTTTCACAGTTGTAGATCTTTGGTGGACTTGATCATCCCGAACTCAGTGACCCACATTGGGGACAATGCCTTCAAGAATTGCAGCTCGTTGGTGAACTTGACCATATCGAATTCCGTGACGCACATTGCTGACGGCGCCTTTGCGAATTGCTGCTCTTTGACGAACTTGAACATTCCGGACTCCGTGATCCACATTGGGAATTCAGCCTTTAAGGATTGCAGCTCCTTGATGAAGTTGACCATCCCAGACTCGGTGACCCACATTGGGAATGAAGCCTTTGAGGGTTGCAGCTCTTTGACGAGCTTGACCATCCCAGAGTCCGTGAGCCACCTTGGGCTTCGTGCATTTGAGAATGTCCCTTTGAAGCGGCAGAAATCCCGCTGAAGCTGCAGGGCCTTCGCTGCCGAGCCGCGGAGCTCTACTGCGCGCGCTTTCAAGGCAGACCACTCGAAAAGCGTGGTGGAGCTTTGAAGCGAAGCCACCAAGGGCAAAGGGTGATGTAGTTTCTCTTATTTTGTTTTGGGGGGCCACAACAAAGGAGCCGGTTTCTACGCCGCACTGATTAGATCCAAACTGATTGGTACACCCTGGTACACCCAGACCTCTCGAAGTCCTTGTTTTTGGAACTCCCTTCGACTCAGCCCTTCAGGAGAGTGCTTGGGCTTGGGCGGCGTTCGACCCCTTCGCCGCCGGCCCAAAGTGGTCGCGGACCGTGTCGCGAGCGATCGCGGACAATGGTGGCTCGCAGCATCGCGCACCGCGCGGGGGTTATGACTGGGTGACGAACGCTGGATGTGTGCCGAAAACATGTGGGGCATGGCTGGCCCTCACCCCACCCACTCAAAATGAACCGAGTGGGCGACTTTGAGATCACGGGCTTTTGCTCAACCCACACCATGTTGGTTGCAAGAAAGCATGAACATGACAAAGTGCAAGCAAGCTCTGCTGAACACCTAGGATTTGGACTATAGACGTTCTGAAAAGTCCATTTGGGTTAATTTTGCACAGACACCAAGCTCTTTGGTAGTTTGCCCTGTTCTTGTACCACTGTTCTAGGCTTCAAGACGAAGGTGTGGCACCCATGGTTTCTAGTACAACTTGACTTAGGACTCTTCTTACATGGTGACTCAAAACCCACGCCCAAAGCAAGGTAGGCTGAGCTAAGGTTAACATCCCTGATACCTGATAGATGATTCCAGTTTGGGAGGGTTTTGTTGATGAACATCACTTGATTCAGTTTCAGAGCACAGCACTCTTATCAGATCATAGACCATGTGTGACTGGTGTTTGCGGTTCCTTCAATGTTTCTCCAATGACATTAGGGTGTCGCAATCACCTGCCCAGCATACAAGCCACATTGTGCCAGCGATTAAACTGCTCTTCAAGGCAAACACGCAATCAGCTCAAATCCACATCCGCAGTCTTTGTGCCATGGTGACGAACATTTCAGCGCTACAGCCAAGTGGTGCAATCCTGGTTGGATGGTTGGAGCCTCTCTCAACTCACCAGGCTTTGGGCAAGAACTGTGGACATTTAGATAACTTTCTCATGTGGGACCATGTTTCGCTAGTGTTAGCTAGTTAGCCATAGCAGTGAAATAGACCAACAGCCACACTGCGTCATCATGTGGGTCAACAGGACGTCCAAGACAAATCGACATGTTCGCACTTCGGCAAGCAAAAGAAACACATGTCGACTGTGTCCAAGTGCATGCTTTGCAAGGCTCAGAGAGAAATAAGCAGACAGACAATTTAGTTATACCATAATTATATAGTGTATAATATATATACATATAGTATATTACTAAAAATTAAGCGGACCACGGTGTTCTAAGTTCTATGAGCTGTTCTTCACTTTTCATCAAGGCAAGTCACGTGAACAATCTCCGATCCGCTCTTTTTGTTCCTTGTCGCCATGGCGACCGGCACTTGTCTCGTGCTGCAGCCAAGTGGGGAAACCATAGTTCTTGACGTCACTCCCGAGTTGCGAGGGAGGGAGCTCAAGCAGCAGATCAAAAGTCGGCAGCCTTGGGACGAGCTTACTGGGAGGACCACCAGCGTGGAGATAATTGTTGGAGACGACCAGTTGCTGGCCAATGATGTCAAGGTCTTGGACGCGGGAATCGCTGCAGATACTGTTGTGAGTGTTGTCTTCAAGCCAAACAAAGTTATATGCTCCAACAAAGATGCGATCGCCAGTCTTGGTGGCATCGTCGACTCCGAACTGTTGCTTGTTGTCGAAGTTCCACATGATGAAACACAAATTTGCGACTGCGCTTTTGAGAGTTGCCGCACGTTAGGCAAGTTGACCATCCCAGACTCAGTGACCCAGATTGGCGCCGGTGCCTTTCAGAATTGCAGCTGCTTGGCGAGCTTGACCATTCCGGACTCAGTGACCCATATTGGTCGTGGTGCCTTTTGCAGTTGCAGTTGCTTGGTGAACTTGACGATCCCAGACTCAGTAAACCACATTGGGGATGGTGCCTTCGCACAGTGCAGCTCTTTGGTGAGCTTGACCATCCCCAACTCAGTGACTCACATTAATGATTATGCCTGTCATTTTTGCAGCTCTTTGACGAACTTGACCATTCCAGACTCGGTGACGCACGTAGGGAATTATGCCTTTGAATTTTGCAGCTCCTTGACGAACTTGACGATGCCAGACTCCGTGACCGGCATCGGGGATAGGGCCTTTGCGGGCTGCAGCTCTTTGACCATCTTGAGCATCCCGGACTCTGTGACCCACATTGGGGACAATGCCTTCAAGAATTGCAGCTCGTTGGTGAACTTGACCATATCGAATTCCGTGATGCACATTGCTGACGGCGCCTTTGCGAATTGCTGCTCTTTGACGAACTTGAACATTCCGGACTCCGTGATCCACATTGGGAATTCAGCCTTTAAGGATTGCAGCTCCTTGATGAAGTTGACCATCCCAGACTCGGTGACCCACATTGGGGATGAAGCCTTTGAGGGTTGCAGCTCTTTGACGAGCTTGACCATCCCAGAGTCCGTGAGCCACCTTGGGCTTCGTGCATTTGAGAATGTCCCTTTGAAGCGGCCGAAATCCCGCTGAAGCTGCAGGGCCTTCGCTGCCGAGCCGCGAAGCTCTACTGCGCGTGGTTTCAAGGCAGACCACTCGAAAAGCGTGGTGGAGCTTTGAAGCGAAGCCACCAAGGGCAAAGGGTGATGTAGTTTCTCTTATTTTTTTCGGGGGGCCACAACAAAGGAGCCGGTTTTATAGTATAGCAGAATGCTATACCGCACCAAAGGATCCAAACTGATTGGTACACCCAAAATACCAGACCTCTCGAAGTCCTTGTCTTCGGAAACTCCCTTCTTTCTCCGAGCCGTGCTTCAGGCGAGTGCTTGGGCTTGGGCGGTGTTAGACCCCTCCGCCGGCGGCCCAAAGTGGTCGCGGACCGTGTCGCGAGCGATCGCGGACAAAGGTGGCTCGCAGCATCGCGACAGGAGAAGACCCAGAGAGGTTGATTGAGAGACCTATGGGACTGCATACGGGGACATGCGGGATTTGCAGGCTGTTCAACCTCTGTCGGAAAGTCTGTCCGGAGAAGCCCTCAGGTGTCATGGGAATCGACAGCCCAAGCAGGTGACCACTTCTTCAAAGCCTTTTCTTCGGCAAAAAACACCGGAGGCTGAAGCACCTCCAGTTGCTGGTGGTTTGACAACTCTTCACGGTTTGACGGTTTACACACATTTTTTGGGAGAACGACGCATGGATGGATCAACTTGGGACCACTCTGCTTCCCACGCGGGAAGATCACCTGTGGAAGAGCACCCGTTGCGTTGACTTCTTTTGGTTTGAAAGAAAGAAGGAGTAGTAGTAGGAGTAGGAGGATGAATGGGAGTAGGAGTAGGAGTGGGGGTCGGAACAGGAGCAGGAGTAGGTCATTCGAACCAACGGGTTTGTTGCATAGGACGCCCATGCCAAGGAGTTTTCTTCTTGCAGTTGTCAGAGTCGAAGAAAGAATTTCACCCAAGTTCACGCACAGGATCCACTTGATCGTCATGTGATCCGCGACTTTTGGTCATTTGATTTTTGATCAACCATTCCTGGCTCGACACGCTGCAAAGGTTCTTAGCAGATGATACGAGCCATGCTGAATGAAACTATCAATCCTTTCGAGCTTCTATTTGACATTATTGCCTTGATGCAGGCTGCGATTCTAGTTTAGCCTCATTTAGCATCCAAATCCAAATTCATAGGACTCTATTTGGTTTTCACTATCTACGCCGCATCGGTATATATGCCATGTTAGCACTCTTTCGAACGAGTCTTCAAGCTGTGCCCGTGGAACACCTCCCCGTCCCCGCCGCGGGGCCGACCCTGGCCGAACGACCGATGCCGCGGCCGACGGTGGGGGGAGCTCAGGGTGAGGGTGAGGGTTCAGCGGGCGGGGTCGGCCACCGGTAGGAGGATGTGGTCTGGCCACCGAATGTAAAGCCCAGGGGGGGTCCACGTCTGTAAATGACAGCGAGATGACCTGGCCCACAGCTGTACTGGAGGTACAGATCTGGGATGATCTGGGTGTGTATGTTAATAGGGAGACCTCCCAACCAACGGGCCGACTGGTCTATTTCCAAGTGCGGACGCGAAGATGTTTGCTGGCTAGCCGGTGGATGGGGGGAGTCCAGTGGACGTACTGAGTATGAAACCTGCCTCAAGTGGTGTGGTGATTTGAGGATGAGGGACACTGGGCATGAAAGAAATGGGACATGACTCGACATATGAAGAGGAATGTTGTGAGGACCATTCTACCTAGCACTTCCAACGGGTGCCCATTGGAGACCTGTTTTTTTCAGTAGGGTAGGGTAGTCTATTGGACACCCAGACAGGATGATCCTGGTATATTCTTGTCGATTAATGCCACTGTTGCAGTGAAGTCTTTCCGAAAAGCCTGAGGATTTGATTCCTAGAAGTCCACCAGGACCCTCCAAGAGGTGTTTGTAAATAGCCTCTTGGAGGTGATTCGGGTTGTCTAAAACCACCAGGCGAAAGGAAGGTCCTGGTAGAAGTGTCATGTCTAGAAGTGTCATGTCATAGAGTGAAGTCGAACCTCATGGAGTGAAGTGGAACCTCATGGAGTGAAGTGGAACCTCATGGAGTGAAGGCAATCTGAAGAGCACCTTTTTTCAATCAATGCCTCCCCATACAGTACCTTGCTCCCCTCTTCCAATGCGATCCGGACGGCAACCCGTCTTCTGTGCCCCCGTCCCCTCGATGCGTCTCCTCGTCCGATTCGATGGGCAGACGGGTCTTCAGCGACCGAGGTGATGCAGAAGACCTGCTTCGCACGGGCGATGGCAGCAGTTTTGATGTGTCGGGGAACCTCGGCGGCTGTCGGCTGTCTGGTTCGGTCGAGTTGTTAGCCGTTACGGCCCCTACCACCCCTGGACGCCGGTTCGGGCGTTGGCTCGGGAGGGATTGAGATAGCGGGCAGGACCAACCACTGCCGGGCTGGGCCGGCTGGGCGACATCGACCCACCGCGGGGCGACCTCGTTCCCCAGCGAACGGGGCGAACGGGGCGACGGGGCGAGAGTTCTGTAGGACGGTCGACGACGGTCTTCGTCGATCGACGTGAACGCGGGAAGCGTTCCACCGCGCTGGGAGTGTTCACTGGGTGACGAACGCTTTTGAGTGGGTCATGACTGGGTGACGAACGCAGGATGTGTGCCGAAAACATGTGGGGCATGGCTGGCCCTCACCCCACCCACTCAGAATGAACCGAGTGGGCGACTTTGAGATCACGGGCGTTTGCTCAACCCACACCATGTTGGTTGCAAGAAAGCATGAACATGACAAAGTGCGAGCAAGCTCTGCTGAACACCCAGGATTTGGACTATGGACGTTCTGAACAGTTCATTTGGGTTCATTTTGCAAAGACACCAAGCTCTTTGGTAGTTTGCCCTGTTCTTGTAGCACTGTTCTAGGCTTCAAGACGGAGGTGTGGCACCCATGGTTTCTAGTACAACTTGACTTAGGGCTCTTCTTACATGGTGACTCAAAACCCACGCCCAAAGCAAGGTAGGCTGAGCTAAGGTTAACATCCCTGATACCTGATAGATGATTCCAGTTTGGGAGGGTTGTTGACAGGAAGGACTCGGTTCTGGTGAGACACGAGAAACTGAGCTCCTGATTGAACCCCAAAAGCACGGAACTTGGAGGCGTGCTTTTGTTGATGAACATCGCTTGATTCAGTTTCAGAGCACAGCACCCTTATCAGATCATAGACCATGTGTGACTGGTGTTTGCGGTTCCTTCAATGTTTCTCCAATGACATTAGGGTGTCGCAATCACCTGCCCAGCATACAAGCCACATTGTGCCAGCGATTAAACTGCTCTTCAAGGCAAACAAGCAATCAGCTCAAATCCACATCCGCAGTCTTTGTGCCATGGTGACGAACATTTCAGCGCTACAGCCAAGTGGTGCAATCCTGGTTCTTGAAATCACGCCAGAGTTAACAGGCTGCGAGCTCAAGCAGCAGATCAAGGAGGAGCAGCCTTGGGACGAGCTCACTTGCAGGACTACAACTGTGGAGGTCATTGTTGGAGACGACCACTTACTGGCCAATGATGCAAAGGTATTGGACGCGGGAATTGCTGAAGATACTGTTGTGAGTGTTGTCTTCAAGCCAAACAAAGTTATATGCTCCAACAAAGATGCGATCGCCAGTCTTGGTGGCATCGTTGACTCCGAACTGTTGCTTGTTGTTGAAATTCCAATTGATGAAAAACAAATTTGCGACCACGCTTTTGAGGGTTGCCACACGTTAGCCAAGTTGACCATCCCAGACTCAGTGACCCAGATTGGCGACGGTGCCTTCCAGAATTGCAGCTGCTTGGCGAGCTTGACCATTCCGGACTCAGTGACCCATATTGGTCGTGGTGCCTTTTGCAATTGCAGTTGCTTGGTGAACTTGACGATCCCAGACTCAGTAAACCACATTGGGGATGGTGCCTTCGCACAGTGCAGCTCTTTGGTGAACTTGACCATCCCCAACTCAGTGACTCACATTGATGATTATGCCTTTGAAGGTTGCAGCTCCTTGACGAACTTGACGATGCCAGACTCCGTGACCGGCATCGGGGATAGGGCTTTTGCGGGCTGCAGCTCTTTGACCATCTTGAGCATCCTGGACTCTGTGACCTACATTGGGGATGGTGCCTTTGAGTGTTGCAGGTCTTTGGCAAATTTGACCATCCCGAAGTATGTGACGTACATTGGAGACATGGCCTTTCTTCATTGCGGCTTTGTGGTTGACTTGACCATCCCAGACTCCGTGACCCACATCGGGGATAGGGCCTTTGCGGGCTGCAGCTCTTTGACCAACCTGAGCATCCCGGACTCGGTCAGCTACATCGGAGAACATGCCTTTCTCGGGTGCGATCGGTTACCCAGCGACCTTTCTTGGTATCTCTCCCTCGACGAAGGCCTAAGACAAACTGGAGGCTTTTGATCAGACGCACCGTGGCGCTCCCTCCGACCGGTCCAACGGTCCCACGGGTCGGCGCCGTCCCGACGGGTCGAAGCCCCAAAGCGAAGCCCCGAAGCAGGACGGGCGCTGCGGTCGCTCGCCGAAAGAAGAAGCGTCTCTGGGACGCCAGGAGCACCAAAAAAGGGCCCATGGGAGAAAGGGGGGGTCGCGGGCTTTTGGGTTTGGGGGGGTTGGTCGCAGTTGAACACCGACGGTTTTGGAGGACGGTTTTTGGCTTCCGGAGAATCCGGACCTGAACCCGAAAGGCTTTGCTTTGGGAAATTCCTCTCGGCTGGGCCACACACATCCTTTTCACTTCGCGCCGTGCAAGCTGTCATCATTTGGACCGTGGGTGATGATTTGGATGGCGAGGAATCAGCAGGGGAGTCCTGGAGGCCGGCCTGTGGGGCCCGACGTTCGGCTTCTTCCTCGCCGCGCGGCGACCCGTGGAGCGTCTGAGGTGTCTCCAGCCTCGCCGTCTCCTTCGTGTCACCCTCCCAGGCGGGGGGGAGGCTCGAAGCTTCGGATCGGTGCCGAGGGCGGGAAAAGAGAGGATCTGGTCGTGTGTAGACTCTAGATTAAGAATACCCTGGATTTCCATGGATTTCCAACTCCAATGGGGGGTTTTCTCAATCAAGAGTCTACATTATATTATATATTATATTTATTTATAGTTGAAACGCCCTGGAAAGTGATGAGATGGTCTTCTTCATTCGCGACATCAAATGATGAACAGCCGCTCAGCAGTCCAATACATGGGTTGGAGGAGAGCAGGGAATTACCACGAGAAGAGACGCAATGAGTAGGCTCTTGTAAAGGAGAGGGTCTTTGGAAAGGGGTGCACGGCTCTCAAGATGTTCTCATTGTTCTCTATCTTTCTGGCAGACATCAAGATTATTTATTATACCGGATAATATAAATAACTATAAATAAATATACAACCATGAGACTCATATAGTGATAGAAGGTTGGATGCCGGAGGAACCCTTTTGTTGTGCTTACATTTGCATTTTGCTTCGAGAAATGATCTCAACGAGGCACCGATGTGGCTCAAACAAGGAGGCACACCATCTAGCGCTTCTTTGTTGGTCGGAAAAAAGCACTGAAACTATTTCTTTGGGTTTCTTTGGGGGTGCCTTTAAAAGTCCGTGTGACCGCGTTTTTCGCCCCAGCCACCGACTCCACAGGCGAGCCCTGCCCAGCAGCGCTTCTGCGGTCTTCGCAGCGAGGCGGGGGAAGTGGCTTTCGCATGGTTTCGCTGGGTTTCGGCGTGGGGCGCCGGGACTCTGCTTGGTCCTCTTTGAGAGATCCAACGTAAGTAGCTCTGGTTGCACAAGCAGTGTGCTGATGGGCATGAACTCTCGGCGATGTCCAAGCTCCAAGAAGGTCAAGGAACAGAAACTTTGAAGACGACGGATATACTTTTTGAGGTCAGGGTGTGGGGTGTTCTTTGATTGATGAACTAGTGGCCCCTAAGTTTCCATTCACACACTTGAGAAATTGCGTACTGACACGAATGCGGTTTGCCACACGCCGGCCTAAGTGAAAAACCTAAGAATCCAGGGGGTAAGAAACCTAAATGGAGAGGAGTCCAACCAACTGCAAAAGCCATTGAAAAGTCGACGAGAGATCGAAGGGCGAGCACTTGACTGCCAATGGTGAACCGCTGCAAAGGCTGGAAACGTTGTTCTATTTACAAGCAGGGGCCATAAGGAAATGCGCTTTGGCACTCGAGTAGGTACGTGCAGCTGATCAGGCTGCATATCCTAAGGTCACCATAGAGAGCTTCGTTGGGCACAGCTCTATGGGCCTTCTGTGCCCCCCCTGCTAAACAAAAAATCAAAGAGTCAAAGGGCAAAGGTAACAAAGCAACGGATTCCCTGTGATCCCAAGGGTTTCACACACATTGGTCCAGGGCCGGGCAAGAGCAGGTCCAGTTCCACTGTTGGGTTGGAGGGTCCCACTCTTGGGATGCGGTGTCCCTGCGCAACATGGAAGAGTGCCCAACTCACGCCTCCTGATAGTTCACAGTGCCTGATAGTCTTTTTTCCCCAACAAATGCGAGACGTGTGACACGTCTGGCGTTTTCTTGGCACTTCCTCTCCTACCTGCCAGGCACGTGGTCCAGGCCCGTCCGCCATGTCCGCCACGCTCAGCTGGACCCCTTGGAGGCGCGCGGGCCCTCCGCGATGTCTCCACGCCCGGCGGTGGCACACCGCCCTGTGCGGATGAAGTGCATCAAGGGATGTTCCGAAGGGAACTGACCTTCCGATCGGTTCGACCTTCGGCGACCGTCCGAACCGAAGCACCCGGAGACCCCCAGACCCTCCTGGAACCCGTTGTTCCAATATGGCAATTGAAATCCTTTACATGGGAAAGGGTTGTTTGAGGAAACATCCATTTCTTTCTGGTTGTCTGGGGTTCCAGGCTGGCCTTCTTTTTTGGGCGTGTGTAGTGTGTATTTTAAGAGAGGCAGACCTCTCTAGTATTCTCTAGTCATTGGTCCCATTGGTTGGGGGTCCTCCAATTGAACTACACACAGCCCTATGAAAAAAGAACAACTTGTGTATATGCTTTGTGGGTACTCTTAGCCTCTTAGCCAAGAACCATGAACTCCTTTGAGGCTTCGCCGAGCGCCTTTTCCACCCTCTTCGGCCTCGTCCGCAGGTCGCCGACCTCCATGACTGAGCGTCTGTCGCCCCGCGAATGGCTCCGGATGCCGGGGCACTCGGGAGGACCAGGCACAGTCGGTCCTCAGTCGAACACAAGCTCCACTTCCTGCAGGCTTTTTGGGGGAAAATGGGATGGTCATTAGGTCCGGCCCAACAAGTTCACAGACATCCATTTAGGCCGGCTGGTCGGTCGGTCGGCTGGTCGGTTGGCTGGTCCCTGATGGCCTCTTGAAACATGGGTGTGAATTAAGATAGGGAGACTTCCCAGGCATTGACCGCCTGGAAGGAAACTGATCTACCCAGCGACGGGGGCAAGATTTCGGGTGTCTCCCCACTTCAAACGCACACTCAGAGGTGGTTTCTCAGGAAACCTCACTGCGAAATCAGGAACCCAAGCACCCCAATGATCAAACCAGAGAAGGGCCTTTGCAAGTGGATTTCTTTGGAACAGGTCGGACCACCGACCTAAAGAGTTTCTTTCTTTAAGTCTTTTTCCTCTTTTTCAGATCACCGTCTCCTACGGCGTCCTACGGTACCCACCCACCGAAGATGCTTCGGTGCCCTCCGTTTCGGCCAGCTGCCGGCCTCTTGGGCCTGGAGCGGTCGGAGCCGTGCGGAGCGCATCGCCCAGGTATCGGACGTTGGGTCTGGCGGAAGATGCCACTAAAGCGCAGGTGGAGACCGGTCTGGGGAGGAGGTAGGTGGCAGACTCTGGCAGACGAGTGGGGAGGAGACGTGGGGAGGAGGTATGGAGGAAACATGGTCCTTCTGGATCCCTTCTGGGCATGTATGTTCGCGAATGTGGACAGCGTCATGTTTCGTTGGAATCCCAGTTCAAGAAATGATGAACTGGTAATAAAAGTAACAAGTTAAGTTCGTTTTGACATGTTTTGAACGTGTAAATAAATGAACTGGAAAGACAAATAAAGAACCTCCATCTCCATCCCTGGCTCTCTTCGTCTCTTCCAAGTCTCTAAATAGCTCCATCCTCTTCCACCACGGTTCCCACCCACGCCTGTCTGCATCCATCAGGTCACCAAAGCGGCCTCGCGCTTGCGGAGGAAGTACGGAGACGACGAGGCCGCGGTGAGGGAGGGACCTGGTGCGGTGGATTCAGTTTCGCTTGCAAACTTGAGTCAGCTTTAGACGATTCTTTGGGTTCAGGAATCCATCTCAGGTGTCAGTTTTGCGACTTCACCTCTGAGTGTTCGGACCCTGATAGATCCTTCTGACCCGCGACACAGGTCCAGTCACCTTGGACTCATCGCCGCACCACCGTCCACCGGCATCCCGGTTTTCCACCGCCGCCGCTCTTCGGGCTCGGTGCGTCCGAAACTCTTCGGCGGAAACGCCGCGGCGCTTTCCGTCCCAGCGCCGCGGTGGACGCGGCCCCGGTCAGGAGGCGTTGCAACGGGTGGAGACGGCCAATCTTTGGATTATGACGAAGCTGATGTCCGAGTCCGGAGGCCTAGGGTTTGACGAAGCTGAGGGGTGGTGGTGGGCAAAAACACCTGGGCCACCGACTCGGGGCCCATGTATGAGGGGCGCCATCTACTCTGAAGTTCTGAAGCGGAGCCGAGCAAATCCCGCAATGTGTCTAACACAGACGGTTTCGGCTCACGCTTTCTGCCCTGACAGTGCTTGACGTTCTTGGCGGCTGGCGGCAAGAACTCTTTCAGCTGGCGGCATGAGTTGGAGTTCGGGTCGACGATGGTCGTCGGAAGAATGGAATGAAGAAACCGGCAAGTGAGGATCCAAGCGACGACGGGTTCCGTGTCTGCCGGTGTCAACGGTGTCCGGTGTCTGCCGTTGGGTGCTGGTTTGGGGGGCCTTTTTGGGTTCATGAGACCGCTCCAAGAGAGACGCTAAGCGAAGTGAACTGAAAAAGGACCCTTGAATCCGAACCAGGTACCTCGGCGTAGCTAGGGCCTAGGGCCCTAGGGTTCTTGAACCTCTGTTGAGGCCGTGCGGTCAATACTTGTCTGAGGAAGGAGGAGGCGCTCAATGCCAAGCAGCAGGCGAACCGCTTGCGGGAGCTCGGCGATTCCCCCCGCAGGCGGGAGCTGCGGCATGGCATTGAGTGCGAGTTGAGTTGGGTAGGTGGGAGAGGGGGTTGAGCAGAATATGAAGTGGGAGTGTTTCGAAACCCTTTGCACGAAGGAGCCTTGCAGGGTAATGTAGCTTGACCAATAACCGCCCCCAGGTTTTAGTTTGATTAATTGAGATTCTATATCAGCTCAAGGCTAATTCAATGACGTGAATAGCATTTTTTTTCACAGGTTTTGCAGTATTTTGGCAGTGATCTCTTGACTCGACTGGTTTATTTGGTTCGATTGGTTCCACTTTTATATGGGGCTTGAACGGTTTGGTCGAGACCGCCATATGATGCGGGTCTGCGCAGACGGCTGAGCAGTTTTCAACCCAAAGCAGCTGTTGCTGGAGGTCGCCTGTGGAGGAATCCTATCGGGAACTTTTCTGCAACACTAGTGGATACCATCCCAGAGGACATAAGCTCCAACAAGAGCTCTGACTTTGGGCTTATGTTCAAAGGGCAAGACTTTGTACTCGAGTCTCGGTACAATGGTTACGATGGTGCAAGGACACGTCGAATCAACCCCCTACAGGTCAATGACCTCATTTGACTGGAGCTGGGCTGGTCATACAAAAGCACTACTCAAAGAGGTACTGTAAAGGACCAGGTTTTACTGAGTCTTTGCAACGCTATAGATGCCCAGTTCTGGAGTGTCTTCCCTTCCTTCGTCCAAATCCGGGCGGACCGGGGTTCAGGCTCTTCCAGAAGTATGTGGCCGGCTACATCCCTCCCGGTGTGCGGCGCATGATCGAGCCTCCAAATACCAAGCACTTCCGCTGGTTCTGGCGCCCAGATGCGAGAGAGATCGCCCGCTTCGTCGATCAGCAGGATCCTGATCTTCGTCGATCAGCGCTTCGAGTGAGTTTGACCTCGTTTTGTTCACACAAGGACATAGGACATGAGAGATTCAGGACCAGATATGACTATAGATGCTAGGACTTCCTCCCACTTTCCCATTTGTGGGCCTCTGACTCGCACCGGATCTTTGGCCTGGACGGGTCCTTCCGCCGAGGTCGAGCGGACTGCTGGGCGCTTTTGCGCTCATGGGCCTCTGCGCCGCTCGGCGCACGGGAAGAAGCGGGTCTGGTCGTTCTCACCGAAGAAGCCGCGGGGTGAAAGGGGAGTGGGAGCGTCATTCGGCCGAAAGAGGGGGAAAAGAGGCGGAAAGATGAGTCCACATCTCCCCTATTAAATTCATAGACATCTCTTAATAAGACATGTTAAAGGGGATAAAGGAAGCAGGCGCCTTTGGGGGATCGCAGAAGTCTTCGAGTGTCGCTCCGGTGGGCCTCCTTCCCGCGGGCCTCGCGGGCGACGCGTTCGCGCCGCGGGCCTCCTGGGCACCCACGGAGGTGCCCACGCAAGCGACGAACTTCATTGGCCTGGCGGCGGCTTCGGCCATGGGCCTCGTCTACCAGGTGAGCAGTGTCCGGTGGTTCTCCGCGTGACGTGTGGGGCGAGCTGGGGCAGCAAGTCGTAGATCTGATGGGTAGGTTATTGGGTGGTTTTTAATGTTTCTGTGTTTTCTGAACGCCTCACTTGAAAGGTGCAAGACCTGCACACGGAGCGAGGTCTCGAGTCTAATAAAGGCGAGGTCTAATAGCATCGACGACACCGAGTTCGTCCTTCGGTTTGGTCGTTGGTCTTCGTCTGCCCAGATGCGACCAGGTTCAGACCCCTCCGTTCAGTAGGGGGCCAGACCCGAATCCTCTGGAGGGGGTCCGGACAGGAAGCCGGTTTGACAGGTCTTGATTGTGGGTGGGGCATCGAAAGGAGAACCAGGCTCAAATCATCTCAAGTCTGAAAAAGACATCATCTCAGCCACCCAAATATTTCATCTCAGCCCGTCTCAGTTTGGCCCGTCTCGGCACCGGTTGAGACGACGATCCTCGTCTTGGTTTTCGGCCAGACGTGCTTGTGTTCCAAGCGAGCGGGACCGGGACCTGCATCACCAGAACCTCCTGGGAGATCAAACGTGCTCCACAAGGGACTCTTTGACTTGTCCTCGAATCCACGTCCATGGAAAAAAAACCCTCTTTTCGGGTTCATCGTCCTGCGTGGCACGGTCGAGGAGGTTCGTGAGCTGTTCCGACCCACCAGTCCCCCACCCCATCTGCCTTAAGGTAAGACGTCCCAGCCCTGTCCCACGTCCCAGCACGACGATCCCGGGTCCGGCACGACACGACCCGGTCCACGCTGCCAGCGCAACCGACCTGAACCGGTGCGGGACGACATGGGCAACATCGGCGCCGTCCGGGCTCCCCGGAACCGCTGCCGCCGTTGGTCGGATGCGTGGGAGGCGGCAGGGGGTTCGGACCGTGCATGGTCGTCTCTGGAGTGTGACTGTAATGACCATGATTGCTCCAAAGTGTGGTTCAGCCACATTCTAGATTAAGTGAGGCCTTCACAAGCAGTCACACCTTCCGTTCAAGAAGGACACCTGAGACAACCCGAATCTAGGAACCCAGCTTCAGAAGGAAGCTCTAGACCCAAGTGTTTAGCTGCCTGACCCACGATGGTCCAGAACCCCGGCTGCACACGTCCGGCCGTGCGGCCGTGCGGCCGACCGGGAAAGCCACGACATGGCGGGGACTGGAGAGGCCATGTACCTGGATTGGATTGGAGAAAGTCCAACTTCCTTTGGCGCTTCACCTCCTCCCTCCCTCCAGAGGTTTCTCGCACCAGGACTCCAGTCCGGTGCGGGTGGAGCTTTCGACCGGTCCCAGGTCCAGAAGCCCAACGCCAAAGAGATGGGTGCGTCCATTGCGTTGGTGTTGGTGGGGCCGGGAGCGCCCAGGGCACGGCCGCGGAGGGCTGGCGGCGAGGGAGCTGAGTTGGTGTGGAAGGAGCACGTCGAAGCACGTGGTGGTGTATGAGGTGCTGATTCGGGTCTTCGATGGTATTTGCGATCTGAGGGTCCTTTCAATATATTCTCTTCTAATCTAATCTAATCTAATCTAATCTAATCCTATCCTATCCTATCCTATCCTATCCTATCCATCGATCTGTCTGTGTCTGTCTGTGTCTGTCTGTGTCTATCTGTCTGTCTGTCTGTCTCTGTCTCTGTCTCTGTCTCTGTCTCTCTCTCTGTCTGTCTGTCTGTCTGTCTGTCTGTCTGTCTGTCTGTCTGTCT